ACCGAGTGAAACAATCACAGCATTATGTGTATGTTTTGGCATGTGAATGAGGTTACTGGAGGCCCAATATCTATTTCTTTCACTCCGACAATTCCTCCCTTATCCGAAACCCTAATCGCCAAAAGGCGTGCAACGCACTCGTAACTCCTCTGATGTTGCGAATGGCCATGAGCGATGCCTATTTATTACCATAAGCTAATAAGTCTGCCCGTTTGCCATCCTTCCACATCAAAAATACTTTAATACTTTTTACTATTCCTTATTAATTTCAGCTCCAATGGCTCCAAAAGGGTTTTACAAATAATTATATTGAAGAATGTTAAACGCTGGTCTCTTGCGTAACCATGACACGATTAATCAGAAATCATTGCAGCTATCGCTACGAATATAACTGTGTCGTTGTAAGCCGTTTATCTGCGATACCAACTGCCATCGCTATCATAATGTATTAGCAATTAATCAATTTTACGTACGTTTTGTTTTAGAATTCTTTAGTAGGTAAGCTTTTTTAATTAATCCTTCGCGCGTGTTGGTTTTGTTCCGTACGTCGGCGTCGCATTTTATTTCTATTAACAATAATAGTATTGTTGGGAATAAGCTTTATTTGCTTATGTTATTTATTACTTTGACAGCATCCTCTTAGTTAGACTTACCTACAGATGAACAGCGATGATATATTAGTGATGAACCATAACGATTTTGCCATGCTCTTATCTCTTGGCTCCTAGTAGATTTGGATGCGATAAATAGGAGTCAAATAGAGCTATACGATTACGGTAGATATTAAAAAATAATAGGCTGACTCGAGCGAAGTGATACTATAGTCACGGCCCCACAGCAAAGCACTGGCGTGGAATAACACTTACGTTATGTAAAAGAGGTTATTGGAGACCCAATTATTCCTTTTTCAACCTCAATCCTTAAATATCCTATCCTTAAATCCCTAATAACGTACAAGAGGTCGGCAACGCACTTGTAGTAACTCATTTTGTATTATGAGTTTCCATGCTGACGGCGCTGATTGCTTTCCATCTGGTAATCCGACTGCTCGTTTGCCAACATATTACATAAAAAAGATATTAATATTTTGAAATTTTATAATAGTTTTGTGATCCGACAATCAATAATAAGTTTAAGTGTAGGAGAGCCATGCTTCGGCACGAATGGGTCGGCTCGACCGGAGTACCGGATACCACAGCTTCACAGAAAACCGGCGTGAAATAACCAAAGAGTTGTGTTTCGCCGTGTGAGTGAGGTTACCAGAGGCCCAGTCCGTCCCCTACCCCAATCCGTTCCCTTTCCCAAAATCTCTAATCCCCAAAAGGTCGACAACCCACTCGTAACCCCTCCGTCGTTGCGGGTGTCCGTGGGCGACGCTGATTGCTTACCATCAGGTAATCCGTATGGTCGTTTGCTGACCTATCACAAAAAAAAATTATTATAATAACGCCTCGGATCTAAAACCCAAAATAATGTACGGAATCACAATAAATTCAAACGCGTATTTTCAATTACTGCTATCAGCTCTGCGTATCATAGTAGCATTGATGATATTTTCATTTGATTTTAACAATAGATATGGTTGTTATGTTTGTGAAATAATCATGCCGCCGGCGTCTACGTAGCTACTTATTCCAATAAGTATAATTATTTATAGTTTCAACTAAGTACTTACATACTTATAACACATATTTACCTCCTATGAATCAGTCAGCTGTTTCGTCTTATTTTTTGTAGAACAGACTTCACAATACTCGTATAGTCCATTGTTACTATAAGGAATCCAAGTTATGTTTTCTTCCCTAAGAAAGCCCCCCTAATTTGTTATTTGTAGTATTTGACTCAGACAAATGTTTAGTTTACGTAACACTTAATTATTTTTTCTTTCCTTGGAACGCAAAAACAGACATTATTTTTTGTAGGTAACCGTAATAGGTCATAGATTAACACTGAAAGCTTTTTTTAAGAATCATAAACCTAATTTTAATACATTACAATTGTGTTTCTCATTATTTTGTGTGTTATCTCAACAAATACATGTAAGAAAAAAACTATTTTTAAAAGATTGGTAATGTTTCGGAAGTCAGGTGTTGCAAGTGTATATGTCAGCGCTGTCTTTAAATTTATCTGTGCATTATAATCCCTAAAAACTTGGAATTAGTCTATATATTATTACCATACATTACTCAACTATATATAAGTGTTTAAAGTTAATTGTCAACATTGTATCCTAATGATTCATTGTTCATGTTCATTGAGCTCCTGCACCAAAAGATCTGCACAACTCAAATCCTACAAACACAAACAAATAAAAACTATAAATGTATTTAAGTAAGTATAGGAAACTTGTCAAGTGTCACCTGACACAAAAGATGCGTATCTGTGACGGACATGTTGTGGCCGTGGGCTTACAAACCTTGGAGGTTCACAAAAAGAGTATCAATGGCAAATAATCCTTGGAGCTTATACTAACAATATTAGCCATTACAATAGCTAATCTTTGAATCGGTAGCCGTAATACGTTTAAACATCCTTTTAACTTTTTTTCAAACAAGTTTGACAGGTTTGTTTGATATTTAAGGTGGAAATACTGACCGTTGGATTTTAAAAAATGTGGTACAGTTTCTTATTTATTGGGTATTCAAAGTTATGATACCTACCAAATAATAAATCTCATCTCCCAAGAAAATCTTTATGTATTTGTAATTCTTCTTGGAGGATATTAGGACCTCATAATAACGTGGTAACGAAATGATGTGTCATGTACCTAAAACAATTAGCTCTGTAAAACATTGATGAAAAAAATATTGCTCTGATAATTCTTAAAGGCGTTGTCTTAGTTACAGTTTAACATATTGCTAATAGTTTTTCTATAGGCGTAAGCTTAGATAGGCCAGTTAGAAAATATTTTTTTGGCCAATAGAATTCAGGCTTGACTCGTTTCGTGATGACCCGGAAGGCTTCTTGAGCATGAGACCTGGGAAGTATCAATGTGACTTTTTCCGAGTTAGATAAATTATGCTTTTTAAAATTATTTATACACCAATGTCCAAGTGTCAATGGTGGCCAATCAACCTTGGATCTAGCGTGGTGATTACTGCTCAATCCTTCTCCGTGTGGGAAGATGCTTTTGCTCTGCAGTGGGCACTTATAGGCTGATTATGATATTGATGATGAGGGTTGTTGCACTACTTAACATTTGTGACTAAACATACTTGGGTAGGACCTCTGTTTGTTCCTTTGAAGAATAAAAAGATTCATTTACTATGATAGAGACATTATTATACATATGTATATTTTGAAATGCCTCTAATTACGTGTACCTATTAAGCAGAATAATATTTCTTACAAAATAAATTAACACGTGCAATATTGATCCCCCAAATGTACTGTTCTTCGTCGTAATAATCGTAGGTCCTAGATATAGGTAAAAAAATGGGGATGAAATAAAACACACAATAATTACACAAAATATTCAAAAAACATTTTATTTAAATTAAATCAATTTAAGTACAAAAATGAGGTATTAACAATAGAATAAAATATTTACACGTGGCTACCTGGATAGAATGCGTGGTACTACTACTTAGTTGATGCTCAATTCAGTAAGGGAGAAGGACAAGGCCCGGTTTGTTAATTACAGTTATAAGTAAGGGTCTGACACTCCCTCTCGTCCCACCTAGGGCAGGACTCCTACCCATCCCCATCCCCGTTCCTTCTCCTGCTTTTAGTCGAGGCCGCGGTGTCTTATTGTGTCAGTTTGCCCCTAAACATCAGCGCTATAGGCCACAGTCTGTGGTCGAAACGAGCCGAATGCCTGGGATCGTGGCTGTGGTTCTTCCATCAAAGCACTAAATGCAGAATGAACTCGCAAGGTTCTCCCACATCTTTTTTTATTTGCCCGGACTTAATAAAAGTCACCAGAAACCCGTGGTTGTTTCCGTACCTTTTTTCATCTGAACGCCGAAGTGTTTAAGTGAGTTTTTAACTGATTTCGAATTATATATTTAATGGCTGCACTCAATTAACCTTCAATACTGCATATGACATAATAGCACAATATACAATGTTCGTACCTACTACATCCAACGCCTGACTAATTCTATTGAGCAAATGCCTAGTGTGACTAATACACTCGGAAATATATTTTGAAAACAGTGTACTGTTTTCTATTCTGTTAATTCAAAGGAAATAAACATACATAGTGTTGTTTTGGCTTCATTGTTGTCCCTATCTATTATTTATTTAATTGTAGTGTTCTATTATACATCAGCTCAATGACACATTCCATTGTGGTAGAGAAATTATTGAACATCGTATTTTTTTCGTTTACATACATAATAATTTAAGTGTGGGAAAGCCATGCTTCGGCACGAATGGGTCGGCTCGACCGGAGTGATACCACGGCCTCGCAGAAAACCGCCGTGAAACAACCACAGCGTTGTGTTTCGCCGTGTGAGTAAGGTTACCGGAGGCCCAATCCTTCCCCTCCCCAAATCCCTCCTTAATCTCTAAATCTCCAAATCCCTAAAAGGTCGGCAACGCACTCGTAACTCCTCCGTTACGGGTGTCCATGGCCTGCGCTGATTGCTTACCATCAGGTAATCCGTCTACTCGTTTGCCGACCTATTAAATAATAATAAAAAAAATATTTCGGAACTAGCTTCACAAAGATAAAAAGCAAAGCAAAGCAACCTGTGTACCATATCCGTCCAGCCGTTTTTGATAGAATAACAAACATACATCCATCCATTGTCACAAACTCTCACATTTATAATAGTAGGAAGAATATTATAAGCGCCTAATTTCTTTACATGCCGTTTTATTTGATGGTTCAAAGTGGCTGGTCAAATAGTAATAATACAAATCCAGTTTGTGAGCCTTGTCTTAATTTTTTAACCAATATTTTGGTAGTACTACGCAGTCTATCCTCATTGTTCTGTTATTACCTATCAGCGATGGCACTTTATCATGTTGCTATGACTATGAATACATACCGTCTACTTTATAAGTAGTTTTTTATTAATGGATTTTTCTGACGACATGGCAAAATCTTAAAGTGTTTCAAGGAAAAGAAATTTGTTAATGAGACTTTCGAGTTGGGATTTGTTATAACTTACTTATTAGGAAATATTCTAATAATGTCATTTATCAGTACCTACCTACGGGAGCGCAATGTGGAATACCTCGTACCTACTACCAAACGATCCCAATCCATATAATAGGTCTTTACCTATGAAATTGCCGTTCTGCAGTACTGGCCATTTCAAATCAAAATAGTTTTTGTTAGGCTAAGGCTAATTAATTTTGTTTTAAAAACATGGGATTCTTTTTTCAAAAGTAGTCATTTGTTTATTGATTAGTGTTACATTTTTATCGCATTTCAAATAAAAATATTCGTTTGAATTTTTTCATGCAAAACGGTAATTTCATAGGTAAAGACCTATTATTACAATTGAAACCCTTTTCGAACTTCGGGTAAAATAGTTTTTTTTTCTAGAATAAAGTACCATCGCTTTGATTAGACTAGGGTTGACACCTAATTAGTTTTCTGCACTTTAGCCCTGAACCCTTGCTTGTCATCTGCTGTGTAGTAGACAGTGCGTGTCTTCCCATCAGCGTCTATGAAGCTGTAGTATCCCTTCACAGTGCCACCGTCTCGGCTCTCCTGGACAGTCTTCGAGTCACCTGTGTTTTTGTCCTGGAATTAGAGAGAAATGCTGTTAGGATAATTGATTTGCCTCCTCCTAACTTCACAGATCGGCTGACGACTGAATTTAGTAACTTCTCAATTAAAAATATGTCGTTATTTTACGGGGTAAATTATCAAGTAGCTTCTCTCGGGGTGAGAGAGAATGTTGCACTCATCCTGACTAAAACCTCCCCTTCCTTCTCCGCGTGCGCCTTAAAGATCCAATAGACCACCACAGACGGGGCCCTATAGGGCTTGTTGGGCCCCATCTGTAATGGTTTATTGGTTTTTTGAATCTCGCGTGAAACGCCACACGCCATAGTCTAGGATCCGATACCTCTTTCGTAATAATGTACCGTGGCTCCAGCCTATAGTAGGAGACAAAACGGGGTGATTTTTAGTTAATATGATACTTCCTCTCTACAGGGAAGGAATATAATGATTCGCATACTAAGAAACAGTAAACAATAACTTAGGTAATACAGGGACTAGGTATTTTTAAACTAAACTAAGTATGTATGTGGCTTTTAAAGAAACCATATCTTTTGTAAAATTTAGTCAGTTCTGTGGGCAAACAATTACAAATTTTGGTAACAACATGTAGGTATGTATAATAAATAACTATGCACAGTGCATGACTTTTGATAAGAGTCCTTGAATGCACTTCTGTTAACAGATTAGAATAATTTACACGTCACTTTCAAGACTCAAACAACTGCTATTTACAACTGACATTTTGCATCAATTTCAAATCCTGGCCTTTTGTTTAAACTTGTTTTGATCAACACTAGATAAGAGTAAGATATAAAGTTCAAAATCGTGTAACATTCAAGTGTTTATTATTTGGCTGGATAAGTAGATAAATGGTCGATTTATTCTAAACAATTGGCTCTTTATTTCTACCAAATAATAGAGTACTAAGATCCGGATAACTTGTAATTTATGATTTAAATTGGAGTGGTATATTACAAGTACGTATTTAATCTATACTAATATTATAAAGAGGTAAAATTTGTAAGTTTGTATGTGGAGGGTTATCTTTAGAAAGGCTGGTCTGATTGCCAAAATACTTTCACTGATAAATAGTTACAATGTTCCTTAGTGCTGTAGGCTATAAAACATCACGCTACGATCAAATGGAGCCAAGCTGGTGAAACCGCGAGAGAGCAGCTAGTTAGGTATATTTTTATATGAATAGTAATAGATATTAGATTTATTGAAAAGAACAACTTGCTCACGTGAACTAAGTATGAAAAGCTCTACAAGTGTGAAGTCACAACGGGATTCTTAATCACTAGGAGCGCGTGCGTCGCAACACATTAAAAAAAGATTTATAGAAATATATAAAAAAGAAAATTATTCGTTCAGGTTTTACTATTGTCTTGTTACAGGAATCAAGTCAATTTCATGGTATTTAATTGTAATCTTTAAAACTATTATTGCTGGCATTGAGGCCGTGGTGGTCCGGAGGTTAAGGCGCCTGCTTTTCATGCATCCTCATGCATGAAAAGCAGGTGCCTGGATGCGGGTTCAAAACCTGGCAATTACCAATGTGACTATTTCCGAGTTATATGTACTTTACACATACCACTGACATACGGTGAAGGAAAACATCGTGAGGAAACCCGGACTTATAATTTGTTATTATAAGTTTGAAATCGCCAATTCGCTACGAGCCAGCGCTGTGATTAATGCTCAAACCTTCTCAGTGTGAGAGAGGCCTTTGCTCAGAAGTGGGCACTTATAGGCTGATAATGATGATGATTGCATGTAATATAATGAATATGGAACTAACAAACAAGAGGTTGGGTTTACCCAAACATTTTTTTAACACCACTGAACTTATAAATTGCTTGAACTAGTATACATATACAGGAAATTAATGTTGTAATGCTAAGAATTTGCACACATAACCTTGTTACAGTAATTATTCAAATTAATTTCCTACTTAGATTGTAATTTCGGAATAATTAAACGTTAGTGACCACGCCTCATGCGTCAATCAATCGTGGTTTCGTTTAGGCCTTCTAATTGTTGAAACCCTTTGTTTCAACAATTAGAAGGCGTTTAAACTATACTAATGCCAGCTTATAATGTCGTGTTAGTTCACTCGAATGAAGGTAAATCCTGTAATTAATTTTCAGCCTTGTAGTCAATATGAGAAGGTTTATAATCATAATTTCGCTGTCACGAATTTAGTGATTCGCTAAGTAGGCACCTACATAATTACACAGAATAAAATTTAAGAACTCAGTTGGTTAATTTTTAAATGTCTCTTTTTTACATAAACGAAGATGCTACGCTTTGACGTAGCAATGTAGCCGTAGCATTCATTAACGTAGCAGATGTCTAAGCTTTACGTGTACTTTCGATGGTATAATTGTATTCTTAATAGATATACATACGTATATTATTGTACCTGTGACTTGTCTTTATCCATACAAAAATTAAAATAATTAAAAACTCTATTACGAAATGTTCTAATTACCTACCTACTTCACAAAAATCGCAATAAAAATTTCTTTTCAATGCCTTGCAAATTTATGAAGCCTGCCAACAGAAACAATCTTTATTTTCAACCTAATAAGACTTAATTTAGCACCATCGTAATATTATTAAAATACTTTCAGAATAAAAGAAACGAAATCAAACTTTCTGATGACGTTTTAAGGTCTACTTTCAAATATAAGTAGTTCGTTCTTAAAGGAGGTATGCTGTAGAAGTACAAGGTCATAAGTAAAAAGTAAAATGCGTGTACGCATTGACGTGTGTAAATCCGCGAAGGTCAAGTGCGCAAGATTCGTTACACATAGGTACTATGTACTTAGATAGTGATTTGTATATAGTTCCTTATAATTAACAATCATTCCACCTACGACCTTTCCTTAGTTTTTTTTATTGTGATACAGAATAATAAACGAGCTGAGGCATTACCTGATGACAAGCAATCGGCGCCACCCGTGGACACCTTCACATTCGATGAAATGCAAGTGCATTGCCGATCTTTTGTGGATAAGTAATACCTTAATCCCCGAAATCCCAAGTTTTGGAAATTAAGGGATCCCAATGGAAAAGAGGAGCAACAAAATCTATGGCTACTCTTTTTCAACCAGTTTCATATGTAAATTGAAAGATCTGTGTAACTCACACTATATGAGATTTTTTTTTTATGTAATAAGTCGGCAAACTAGCAGACGGATTACCTGATGGTAAGCAATCAACGCCGCCCATGGACACCCGCAACGGAGGAGTTACGAGTGCGTTGCCGACCTTTTAGGGATTGGGGATTTGGAGATTTAGGGATTGGGGAAGGGTCCGGGAAGGGAAAGGATTGGGCCTGCGGTAACCTCACTCACACGGCGAAACACAACGCTGTGGTTGTTTCACGCCGGTTTTCTGTGAGGCCGTGGTATCACTCCGGTTGAGCCGACCCATTCGTGCTGAAGCATGGCTCTCCCACACTTAAGCATGAAATGATCTCAAGGACCATAATATTTAGACAGTTTGGAGCTGACCAGTCACAATTGACACATTCACATTCACATCCGTGTTTCAAGGAATTTCAATACTTATAATTAGTTTCGTGAACTTTATTTTAATTGTTTTAATATGTGTAGATAAATGCTTTTAATTTCGTTTTTCATGGAGAATGTGAATTGGGCTTTACATTCAAAATATTCTCAATTGTGTCAACACAGCGTAAACTTTTGGGTAAAATTATTTAATTATCGCTTTATTTTTAAAAACATTTCCTATTAGAGGGTTGTAATATTTTAATTTCTAACACCTTTTTGTTAAAAAAAGCATATTTTAATAGAATAGGAGTGGTTTATGAAACAAAAGCGTTGCCGGCGACAAAAGCGGTTGAATTGACAAAAGAGTATGCTCGTTTGTTGAAGGGTTTGAATTGATCAAAGGAAACATTTTTAGCTGACGTAACTACGCATCTAGATCTGAAAGTGGATTGCACAATTGCGTAGTTTTTTAGGTCTTTCTTTCTCTTAATTCGACGTTTCAATACAATAAAATATAGAAAAAACACTAACTTGCCTACTTTTATTCATTGATCTGTCGATATCCTAAATTTTCGATACTTTTTATCTCATTTATAGAAATAATGTAAGCTTTTAGACGCAAAGAAATTACGAAATTGTCAAAAAATCGCGGGTTACTCACGTGTGTAATTGAGAAAAGCTAGGCTTTTGTTCTTCTTTGCTAGGTAGGCTGCGCGACGTAGCCGCGTCCGCGCACGCTGCTCATGAGGAAGAACCCGTCTGTGGTTCGAAACTAGTAGAGCTTTTCTCAATATATACCTACACGTGAGTAACCCGCGATTTTTTGTCTCACGAAAGTTATTATAAGAAATTACGACGTCATAATTCGCAGTTTCATACAAATACAACGTAAAAAAGTATTGATAGTTGGACACTACCGTCTAATCTTTCGGGAAACGAATTCGTGACGCGTTACCCAGCTACTGGTGGCTCAGTCAGTGCCGAATGGGGAGTAGCCCAGTCACCAAACAGTCAGTCAGTACAATACGCAAGTAGAGGTACCTACACTACACGTCATTGCATAACAACCACACCTCAACCACTTCCTACTACGGCAATTAATTCCGACCGCATTCTTATCGCACAATATACGTTCACTTCCAAGTACTGAGAGGAATTTTCTTTGCCAATGTTAAAGTAGCAATGGATTCTATGCTATTTTCATTGTTCGTGTTAATGTCTGTATGTGCGTCTGTAGCTTGTATTACGCGATTATTATCCGTTCTTATGTCAATCCTGTGGTTCCTTATAAGAAATGGCACAAAACTTGTTTTGTGAGTAAACTGGAAATCGAACTCGTTAAATACTTTAAGGGTTACAAATGAATTGCATAACAAGGTACCGCGGCATTGGCCTTGGCTTACAAGAAAGTAACAAAATTATTTGGAATTTTTACTTTTTTTGTGGAATAAGTTGGCAAACGAGCAGACGGATTAGCTGATGGTAAGGAAAAGGCGCCGCCCATGGACACCCGTAATACCAAAAGGGTTACTAGAAGTTAGTTCCGGCAACTCACTTCTATAACTTCTCTTGTTGGCTTTTAGGAATTTGAGGATTGAGGATGGGGAAATATTGGACCTCACTCACACGGCGAAGTCTCTGTAGCTCGCTTCCCTAAATCCAGACTTATTCACTCACCGTATTAAAAAACTTATTTTATTTACAATTGACAACTGTACCTTCGACATTGAGTTGCTCCTGATTTATCATGAGCGAACACGATCTGACAATAGCACTCAAAAATGAACCTAATGGCAATAATATGCAGAGCAGCCTTGAGAGAAAGTGCTCTGTATAGCATGCGGCGGCTGTCGCGAGAAAGTGTACTAACTCTTACTTAATTCCAATGTCACTGTTTGTACTGTTACGCAGGTACACCAGTAAACCGACCTGTCCAAAACGCATAAAATATTTAAAGTATTTTCTACTTTATCGTTAACTGATAAGGTGTAAAATCTGGTAACTTAACGTAGCTCGGTGAGCTCGTGTCTGCATCTACAAGAAATATTATTTGCATTACTACGATTGACTTACTGGTAAAGTGGTGGTTGCTACCAGAAGTCAGTTTTTGTATTCTGGTTTCGACCCAGATGACAAAGTGACACTTACATATTATGTATAGCCTAGTATTACCCCTGTCCCCGTGGAATATTATAAAGAGGTATTGTAAGTTTGTAAGTACTCGTAACGCTGGACGGATTTCAAAAAAACTTTCACAATGTTCAATGTTTTCTACAATGTTTCTGAGTGCCAAAAAAATTGCACTTGATTAACGTATTTTAGTCGAGCTTTAGTTTTAAACGCTGCTGTTTTAAAATACCGGGGAACATTACTCTTATACACGTGCGAATATGCGGGCGGAAGCTATGTTTTAGGTAATAGATTCAGGTCTTTATATCTAGTGACCATATGATAGGATTTACTATAATCTATTTATTTCTGTTACCTATTGGGTATTTTAGCCAAGGAAGCAACCATGTTGCCTTGAAAATCACTTCAAACTACCACCTCGCATCATTAAAACCATAAGCAACAAATTCAATGCCAAAATATCCTCAATTCATAAAAAGACCTATTTCACTTAATGCAATACGGCAAATCCGGAATACAATTTTATCAGTACATATTTGACCTTGCGATTCGGATCATAATATTAACAGTTTACATAACAATTTAGACTTTAATTATAACATTTAACAATGCAATAAATACTTGGCTATATATGTAGGTGGTAGAACTAACGACCATTAGTTTCATGGACAACTAACAGCTGGGCTCAACATAATAAAACTTGATTTATTGGAACAATCATATGATCACAAAGGCATTAGAATGTTAACAAATTATGGGTTCTTATGTATTACATCAGAAGTAAATAACGGTGCTGGGATAATGATGTTATTGTTTGGTACAATGTGTGAGCAGAAATCTTCACTTCATTTTATGTAGGTAGGTAAGTACAATAACTCGATAAAATAATGAGATTTCTTTTGCTGATTACATCTTAATGCCGAAACCATAATATCAATTAAACATTTATTTTAGTAAAAGGGTTTGATTTTGACTTAGTCTTTACTTAAGCTAGGTTCTATATGAAGAAAAGGTCGCAATTACCACATTCATTAAAGAAAATATGTCAAAAACTTTATTGTTTTCCGCAAGGTTGTAACTTTGGACCAAAGTTGTCCGTGATGCAAGACGTTGTCCTTAGGCCATCGTGATCAAATAGGAACTGTTTCATTATGTTACTTGATCTATCACCTAATTCACCGCACGACTGACCTCCGCCTGTCCACAGTACAACTTGTTTGATATGACCATTGTATTACTTGATATTTGTTATCATGTTATTTTATCTACCTATATATAGGTCCTTCGTACTTGTCGCCAACATACGAAGTGGTGGAGCTTCATTATATTTTGAATAAATCCTTCCGCCAAGGAGAAAACATTTCTTGTTTCAGAATCCAATAATAAATCTTCCTGTTTTATCAAAAAGGTTATGCTATATTTTGTGTCTGGTATTAATGTTTTGAAGGTTGCTAGACTTATTTTGTCCCGAAAGAGGAGTTTCAAGTATATAGGTTAAAAATATCGACCCTTTGTGTAATTAAGAAAGCAACAGTATTTACTGCAACTGGCATTGGGGTTCTAGCCTAAAAATTGTAAGTAAAACCTCTAGGTAACCAGAACAGTTCTCTGACACATTGTCGATTGTCATGACAACAGCTCATACTTTTAATATCTGTGCCACCAAACATTGAAGCGACATTTTTACTCTAAGGTCAGTTCGGTAATTTTTCTTATACTCAGTCAGCCTTGAACTAGTCGTGATCACGACATAAGCTGATACTGTCATATCTTGAGTATTAAATGTCAGTTTTTTGTTACCATGTAAGTCTTATATGGATTAGAGGCATTATAAGGATTAAGGTCTAGGATAGAAAGATTGGAGCCTACTGTATACATTGTATATTTCTGTATGTATAACTGTTATATTGTGTCCAATATTTGAAAATGTGCTTAAATTATGTCAGTTACTTTAATTAGTTGACCTTTTACCTACGTACGTTTGAAGCTTTTGATAAGTGATCGTAATCTCTAATTATTGTACTTGTAAAGAGCTAATAAACCAGGGAGAAGCGACCACAGAAGCCTCACTCCACCCCTCTCCAACACTTGAATCCCCGAAACCAGTTTTCCCCATAATGCCGACAACACATTAGCATTTCCTCTGGTGCTGCCCATGGACACCCATGGGTTGTGCTAATTACTTAGTATCTGGTAATTCGTCTGCTCGTACTCCAGGGTGTATCATAACAAAAGACAGTAAAAAGGTTAAAGTAGTAGCGACACTATATATCTATTAGTTACCGAATCTCTGAAATTGGGTCAAAGATAATCAAAGTCTGATCGATTCAAAACCCAAGAGAGACAACTAAATGAATGAACAATCCAAGTTAGAACCACATTTAAACACAACAGTTCTAGAAGTTCCGATAATGTGCTAACCAAAAACAAATGATCCATACTTCCAGGAAATGTCAAAACTCCTGACACCAAGGTTTCCTATGAGCTGGTCAGTGGCCAGTAAGGTGGAAAGCTAGCGTCACGCCCCAGTACTCACTTGCATTGTTAATATTCAGCGACTATCACGCATTTCTCAGTACTTGTTGTGCAAAATGTCGGTGGGTGTTGCCGAATTACTTTAGGTGGTTTTTTGGAGGTCCCTTTTTTATAGTTTGCATGAGATTGTAGTTGTTAATTTGATTTCTTTGTAAGCAATATATGAAATTAAAAAAATTAATTTACACAACTGTTGTAGTTTATTTTCTGCCGTGATTCGTGTTTTTGAATTTTGAGATAGATTTTAGATATGAAAAGTAGTCTTGTCGATTTTTTACACATTTAGTAATGTGTTATAGTTATTGGTTGCATTTTACATTTATGATTTAACAATCATTTGTTTTCATAGGCAAAATGTCTATAATTTACTAATGATAATCAAAACAGGTACAAAAGAGGCTGTTGTTTTGTTAAAATCAATAAGTAAGTGATATCAAGTTCTTGGCTCATTCAGATTGTTGTCGGTTGTGAGTGAAATAAGGCCACTGTCGCACTCTGGCAGTGTCCGGTCACAGTCCGGTGTCGTAACCGTCGCCACGTGGGGAACAACTTTGCTTCCACTTTCCTATACTTACTCAATTCAGAATTAAGGGTTTACGACAACATTTAAAAAATTTATACCTAGATGTAACTTTTTTTGTAACTGAGTAATAAATTATAATAACTAACTAACTAACTTCCTTTTATACGTTCTGAATGATGGAAGAATTTACTTTGTAATACAAAGACTTTTCACACCTCATCATCATCATCACCAGCCTATAAGTGCCCACGGCTGAGCAAATTCCTTTTCTCGTACGGAGAAAAATTGTACATAATTATATCCAGCCAGCAACGCACTCATAATTATTTTTGGTGATGGAGGTATCCATTGGCGACGCTGCTTACCATCAGATCCATCGTGCTCGTGTGCAGCATTATCACATAATAAAAATATTGAAAAATTATCACGTATATAAACTGTGGAAAGATCTACAAGTTTCATGTTAGAACGGGACTCTTATTTATACGCACGATGCGAAGTGTAATTTAGAAATGTATCAATTCCCGTATCTGAGTACAATGTAGTCAATTCGTTGCGTCGCTTTTATACAAAAAAATTTTAAACGAATTGCGGTTTTATTTGGACATCAGTCTACTGAATAGGCTTCATTTTCTTAATATACAATTATTGGACCAACGCACTTGTTTAATAAAACTAGTGCATTGGTCTCTTAAATTGCTTCCATTCATTGTCTTGGCATATTACTTTCTCGCTCGAATAACATAATCACAGTTTGTCGAATACTGATTGAAAGCATGTAGATATAGGCCTCGATGAAATAAAAAAAACATATTATTTTATTCTTATTCTTTTACACTTTCCAAAACATTCGAGGGGAAGCCACATACGATCGATACATTGTGTAGGTATCTCTAAATGAAATACATTAATATGTATAATAAAAATACTCTGAACCGTAACAAAATTAGAGAACCATTTTTCTTGATACGTCAGCGTTTTTATGCTAACTTGCCTGATGGTAAACGAAAGTAATCGGATTTGGAACTGAGTATAACCTAAAACTGCGACTACCAAATACGATCAAGCTTGTCAGACGTAAGGATTAGAAGACGGAAGGCTTATGTTGTCTTTTTTTAAAGTAGGTGATCCTTTTACTTCTGCTTTTGAAAAGAAGGAGGACGAAGTGATTTGTTTGTTATAAAATCATTGTTACTTACGTGAACTCCATACGAAAATGTGTACTTGGGGTGTGAGTCAAAGTTGTCGTAGGCCACCTTCAAGTCAGGATCCCTGGTGTAGTGCGCCAGGCTCAAGGGACTGCCCTTCACCGACTGTATCTTCTGGAACTTGAACGGTTCCGGTTTCTTATCTAGTTGAAGAGTCGGCACCACAAGGTCTGTAGGCCTTATCTTATCCTCGGTAGAGAAGAACAGTTTGCTTTTTTGATGATTGTAAATCGCTTCCTGGTTCAAGGGTTTGAACTGGTACTTGTCGAATATATTGTAATTTTCATTTTTGGTAAAAGGGGTCGTTCCAGCATAGAATTGTGATTGCATGAGCTTGTTGATAGCTTTGTTTCTTTCGTGTTGTGGAAGCTTTGTATCTGGGTCATCTAAGTACGCTATTAGTGCATCTTCTAAGTTCTTGTACGTGTTGTAAGCGTACTCCGGCTGTTTAGCTCCCGGTCCTGTATCGTCGTATTTGTTCTCTATGGCAAATTTGATTTGTGACTCTGATGCTACTTGAACTTTCTTGAAAGGTGCTTCTAAATGGTATGGTCTCAAGTCCTGCCATGAATTTGCTGATGACAGCACCATTATGAGGGGTACCTGTGGACAAATTTCGTTTGTTATAGTGCCAATTTCTATTCAGCTGGTAAATCAAGGTGAGGAGAAACTTTTATCTTTGATGAGATTTTGTCAATTAATTAAAGTAACCTTTTACAAATAACTGTAACTAATATCTCGGTAACAGGATTCACACCATTGTTTATCAAGGCTCCGCCAGAGATGCCCTCTACATTCGCATAATTAATTATTTAATTAGCCATTATCGTCTGTTTACACGGTCATACATCGACCGACATTTTTTTAAATACTGCTTATTGAACGAAAGAACGAATAACTGTGTTGTTATTTTCGAAACCGGTAACTAATTCTTTGCTATATGGAGCATTGCGTGGCCAGTGATCGTGTTAGGTAACAGACTGTTTTTTTTTGCATTCGCATCCAATTATCATATTGTTTATTTCCAGTTATCGTTCATTCATTTCATTAGACTAGATAGTTTATTGCCTAATAGAGTTATTGTGGTTTCTGCTCCAAATAATATCAGGGATTTGTTTTTCTTGAGTTATTTTATACGACTGCGTAGATATCTATTAGGTTTTACCTTTAAGTTGATTATTAAATGATTAAATCTTAATTTATTATTTTTAAAAGTGGTAGTGACTGAAATCTGGTTCAAACCAGCATACTTGCAATACTCCAAAAGATAGAAGAAGGCTAATAAATAAACCTCAATAAAAATAACCACAGCTTTCTAATACAACATGGGACTGTTCCCATCAAGTGAAATCTTGGGCCATAAAACGGAGTTACTGGTTAAATGCTAAACACTCGGAAGGAAATTCTATTTAAATGTTGCGTAAGGTTCTGCGGTGTATACTACGGACTCAGTAGTGAATTTATTTACGAAATTGTAAAAAAGAAATGTTTTATTTGTTGGTCTTATACTACATTACTGGCCGTCTTCGGAAGTAGGCTGACAATCTAGTACACATGTGCAGACGTGTCAAAGAGGGAAAGTGATTCATTGGCCCTTTTTAAAATTTAAAACTGTTAATAATAGAATTCTCTTTTACTAGCCTCCCGGCTTCGCACGACGAATCAACACATTTTTTTTTGTATAAATCTATCTATCAATAAATATACCCTAAGTATGTTATACTATTGTAATGAATATTTGAAATCGACCCAATAATTTTTTTGTCGATTCATTACAAACACATTTATTTTAATTATTATTAAAGGATGTTCTGAGTAATAAAAACATAAGTATTTATTTTATTTATTTATTTATTTATACACTTTATACAAAAACATGTAAAGGTGGACTTAATGCCTTAGGCATTGTCTAACAGTCGACCTTTGGGTGATTGAGAGATGAGAGTGGCAGGTGACATAAGAATAAATAGCAAAATTTTATCAATTTACATTACTTAGATACCATATATAAATATAATAACGAAAAAAAAAAAAAACAATATCATTATATAAATAAATATATATAAATCAGGTATATTATATAATACACGAATAATAAACATATATAAATATATATATATGTATATAAAAATAAAAGTTATGAAAGATTTGAAATCGCCAATTTTTTCAGAAGATGCTCACGCAATCTTGATTTAAAAGACAAACGACTGGTTGCCATCCTAATCTCCGTGGGTAGTGCATTCCATAGCATAACAGACTGAATAAAGAAAGAAGAGTGAAGAAAGTCAGTGTGATGACTTATACATTGAAGATGACGATTATTGGAAGAACGTAGATATTTAGTATGGTTTGCACTGGTGTATTGAAAATAAGAAGATAGATAGCTAGGGGAAAGAGGAGAGACAAGAAAGGAGTATAAAGTGGTGAGAGCCCTTTGCTCCCTGCGCTGGCGTATGGGCAACCACTTTAATTGCAGCCGATGTGCAGAAACATGATCATATTTACGCAGGTTGAAAACAAATCGAATGCAGTTATTCAGAAGTCAGAAAATAAGAGATTGCACAAGCGCTGCCTTTACAAAGGATGGGAGAAAATTTTTAAGGCGATATAGAGACCGCAGCGATCCTGTGACCTTTTTGCACACGTTGGTAACCTGCGTACGCCAGCTGAGGGTGCTGTCAATGTGCAGACCGAGATCCTTAACATCGCTACTAAATGGTATGACAGCATTATCAAAAATTACAGGTGGTAGCGTGCTATTGCCAATCTTACCTAGCATACGGGAACTGCCGATAACTATCGCCTGGCATTTGCTAGGATTAACAGCTATCCCAAACCTATCGGACCAGTTTTTAATGGCCTGCAGATCGACATTAAGCTTGTCAACAGCACCAGACAGCTGCTCTCTGCTAGCTTGACAGTATAATTGCAAGTCATCAGCATACAGATGATACGGACATTGAAGTTCTGTAGTAAGCATATTAATAAACAATGAAAATAGAAGAGGGGAAAGTATACCGCCTTGAGGGACGCCAGTTTCCAACGTGCACCAGCATGATGAATTATCACCAACCTGTACCCGTTGCTGTCGTCCCTGAAGATAGGAAGAAAACCATTGTAGACTATCATCGGAGACCATAAGGTGGGACAGGATGGCCAGGAGGACATCGTGACTGACCATGTTGAAGGCGTTGGAAAAATCAACTAACACCAGCACGGTGATCTTAGTATCATCCAAACCAACCCTCACATCGCCAGTCACTTTGAGGAGAGCGGTTGTGGTACTGTGTCCTGGTCTAAAACCAGACTGGAAAGGACTTAACAGGGAGTTTTGGAATATAAAATGCGAGAGTTGCTTATGAACACAAGCCTCAAGCAGTTTAGACAGGAATGGAAGGATCGAAATTGGGCGGAAGTGGGTGGGTAGAGTAGGATTTGGGACCTTAGGAAGTGGCCTAACAAAAGCTAGGCGCCACAGAGATGGAAAAGAACCGGAGAACAAGGAAAAGTTTACTATATGGGTAAGGGCTGGGCAGAGGTGGTCCAAAACTGTTGTGATCATGTAACGGGAGATGTTATCACAACCAACAGCCTTGGACTTGATGGACAGGATAATCTTTTTGATCTCCGCTGACTCCACAGGAACAAAACGAAATGGAACAATTTTGGAACGCACCAGACCAGCAATGAAAGCTACAGTACCATCTATAGTCAGACGATCCAAAGACGAAGATGTGGAGAAATGTTTGTTAAGATCGTCTGAACTAATCGAGTTTGGAAGGTCTGAGTGTTGCGTTCTGCCAATACCCAGAGATTTTAAAAATTTCCAGATATTGGCAGGAGAAGATGAAGAGATATTTTCAAGGATGTGTCGGCGTTTGGCGTTACGTACCATCTGGTTGCATCGATTCCTTGCAATCTTAAAAGCTACCCAATTTTCATCAGTGCGGTCTCGCTTGTGCTTACGAAACGCGCGGTCCCTACGACGCATCGCCATTTGAATGCCTCTGGTCATCCACGGCGCAGGCGGGCGTTTCATTTTCACCTTACGAATAGGAGCATGCCGGTCATATAAATCTATTATAGTTTTATTGAAAATGGTAACCTTTTCATCGATCGAATTCGCCTGCATCAGTGGCTCCCAGTCGAGGTTTGATGCATCATATTGCAGCCTCTCTCCATCCATTTGCCTAAAACAGCGCCTATACACTATCCTGGGCTTAATTTTGGGAGGTTTTAGGACATAGGATAGGTGCACAAGGTCGTGGTGGGAAAAGCCCGGGGCATCGTGTTGGCCATGACTGGCAACAAAAGAGGGATTGGAGGTGAGGATTAAGTCGAGCCAAGTGTCAGTGCTACCAGTATTGTGATGTGTGGGTAGAAGTGGCAACACGTGCAAACTGGCTGACTCGACTAATTCGAGGAGTTTACGGCTTCGATAGGAGGTGGGAGTAAGGAGATTGGTATTAAAGTCGCCCATGACTATGATATGTTCGCACTCCGAACCCAAAGATTCAAGCACTGATTGGAATTCAGTGAAGTAATCAATATTTGGAGGACAGTAAACTACACCCAAAATAACCTTGACCCCCTGGACACAAACCTCAAGGAATATGTACTCCGCAGAACAGTTGGAAGAAGTTACAAGAATTTTATAAGGAAAATCACTGCGGAGGTACACTGCCACACCCCCACCCCTCCCCTCGACCCTGTCATTCCTTATCAGGATATAACCGGTCAAAGGGTAAGTGGTGGACGGCAAATGAGGTTTCAGCCAGATTTCGGAAATCAGGACGGCGTGAACGCTGCCATCATTAAACGCCTCGTAAAGGTCACTGTAATGGCTGGGGACACTCTGAGCATTAATATGGCAAACGTTCAGCAGTCGATTATCTTTGCTATGAAATTGTTTATGGATAAAGTCTCCAAGAGTTTCTTCAACAGCTGAGCAAAAACTATAATTACTGGAAGAGTCATCTTCATTGGCAGATTCAAAAATTTCGTCGTCAGACATAAATTAAAGTTATAAAATATACTAATGCAACTAAATAAATGAAAATATAAAATAATAATAATAATAAAAACTACAAAAAAAAAATGTTAGTAAATAATCGGAGCGCGCATCTAGTCTGCACCACCCGCCAGCCTATGTCAACAATACTCAAAATAACATCAATCATAAAAAAAAAATACACAAAAAAAAATCAACAAAACAAGAAACGAATCTGCAAGCACAAATACCCAAACTTAAAACATTAAAGAAGATATAAAAAGAAACAAAAAAAGTAGAATAACTAGGCATCCGAACAAAGCAAAACAAAAATGTTGCTAAGCATTTCCGAACGTTCAAAATATACATTGACAGTTGACAGCAACAAGTTCATCAGATCATAGACAGTCAGTACTAGTAAAAAATAAATTAATACAAATACATATGTGTTAGCAAGCGTGAATTAAATTAATTTTACGGTCATTTGCAAATTTCAATAGTGAAACTATATATTACTATGAAAAGTAAAAAATAGGCGTACCGTCAATAACTTGACATAGTGATTCTAATGACTACCTCTTAAGGAGAGAAAACAAATTACAAAAGTGAATAC